GTTTCATCTCAACCAAACCAAAACTCTATCACTTGCAAACCTGACCATCTCATTACCTATGAGATTTCCCTATAAATATGAGGCTCATTTGCACTCCAAAGGAGGAATTAACAAGCCCTCAAACCCTCTCAAACTCTCCCAAATCCGAATTGGCCTCAAAAACTTCATTTTTGAGCTTTGAAGTCCAAATCTTCGAATCTCTCAAACCTTGCAACTTTTGTCCGAACAAATCATCTAAATACCTCATATATATCAGGTATAAGTGATCCAAACACCTGCTTTGCCACTGTAACTCCATTATCAACACCCACCATTTTCAAAATCCAACTTTGCAACTTGACTTGAGTAGACCAATCCATACACTTTCAAGGCAAAGTAAAGGTTGCAACACACTCACCAATGTCCAAGAAATCTTTTGGCATCATTTATTTGCACCTGGAAGCATCCATACGCGTTCTGAGTTTCCACTTCAAGAGGTAAGTTTTCTGAATTGTGATATCTTGATACAAGCATTATTTGCAAATACATTCTAAAGCAAAAATGTAGATATCATGCCTCTAAAGCTAACCATATTCTTAGTTCTCATTTAAATTAACTGTGTGATGAGAATTTTGACTCTGAACCGTTAGGGTTTGTTTTTGGTACCAACACAAATTCTCTTTAATCTTTGAGTTTTAGCTTGAGTAAATTACATGGTTGAATTTGTGATTAAATTTCAAGCAAGTTTGGTTTTGGAAGTTTTCAAAACGGATGAAAAATTAGAGTTTTCGAAAATCATCAATGGTGTTGTTGTTGTCTACGCACGCGAGGAAGAAGAAGATAACATTTCAAATTCTCAAAATTCATTTTATAATATATTTATTGGGTGTTGTTTCATAACCGGATGAAATAGCCACCCCAGTGGCAAGCGCGTGTGTGAGTAAGGCTTTGGTGTGCCAAGGCAGGGGTTCGATCCCTACCTCTGACATTTTACTTTCTAACATTTTCTATTTACAGATCCTATACAAACAATCTAGTGCGTATACCATGCACCTTCAGCCATCAACCACTTGATCTCAATCAATCCAGATCTGATGCTACTGGAGATTTTCCCCACGGTGCATCCCTATTGAGTTGTCCACACTGAATCTCACAGGCGCCCGGGCTTTTGGATTTGGGCCTAGATGTTTTACTTTTTCCATACACCCCAAATTTCTTTACAACTCAGGCCCATTTTACTTTTTTTCCTTTTTTGTTTTAATCATTTATTCTCTTTTAAATTAATTTTATTTCAATAAAAAAAATCATAAAATCATAAACAAATTAGATTTAGGTTTTAATAAATTAATTTAATTTTTTATTTAATAGAAATTAATTAATTTAATCACACATTATTTTATTTTAAATAATTAACTAATGAATTAATTAGAATTAGGTTTTATTCTTTTTTTATATTTCAAATATTTTTCTAAACAAAAACATCAAAAATATTTTCTTAAATGCTTAGAAATATTTTAGGATTTTTTTTAAACATCTTTTCCCTTTTCAATCTTCGCGCGCTCATTTACTTTTTCACATTATTTTTTAATATTTTAAATATCACTGATATGTAATAGATAGTTATGGTTTCTTCACCTTCTCCCCATTTATGGTTTATATTCCCCATCCCCAAAGCGATGTAATAGCGTAGATTATTTCCCGTATTTTTATTTTCCGCACTTGTATACATTTAACTGCTAGATTAATTAGGCGTGCATGGCAAGACATAAAAAATAAACGTTAGAAAACCTAATCTCAAGACAAATACTTGAAATCAAAACACTTCGCACACGCACACCTCTAGGGTGACCCTCACTTGTTGCCTCGGATAAAAAACAGTCATGTCCCTCGAACGTGGAATTCTTTAGCAAAGACCCTCGGTTAAAAGATCGTAGTCCCTTGATGACCCTTCGATGCTGCCTTCGGTAAATAATCTTAGTCCCTTACGACAATTTCTAAAGCGTCCTACAAGTTGCCTTCTATGACTGTACGATGACTCGTGTCTGTCCCTCACATCTAATGATAAGGCTTCCTACTAACTAATGGTAGGCTAGTACTATCTAAAGGAGGAGGAAAAGAGCAAAGACTTCTTTGAGTAGGTAGATTGCTCGTAGTCGCTTGCTCACAAACTTTTCAAAACAAAAATATATTTTCACAAAGTAACACTTTCTTTCAAAATATTTTCAAAACAAACATTTTATATACATTCTAAATGATACGAGAATCATTACAAAATTGCCGCACTTAAGCATTTTCAAAATATTTTCAAACACACACAAGCACAAAGCATTTCCAAAAGTGAGCTAGCGATTAAGAGCCAATAGATAAATACATATGAAAAGGGTGTTAATACCTTCTCTTTTCATAACCTACCCCCCGAACTCAAAATTCCCAAAGGTCTTTCCTGTTCTTTTCACCCTTTTCTTTATTGGATAAAATAAAAGTCAGTGGAGACTCTTGCTATCCACAACATTTGCAATAAAACACAAAACTCAAAAGTCAGTTCTCCTACCGTATTACACTAGGGATACCTAATTATCTACATATTGGGCCTTGATATAGTCATATTTACCTCTAGGCTTCATATTTCTTAAGTTGTCTACCTTCTGGGCAAGCACACTTCAGGGATGAGCACACTTTTTGGCCGAGACACACCAGGGATGAGATACTCATGTGTTTTATTCCTTTTGGGTTATCTGGCTTCTAAGCCAACTACATGTGGTTCTATGTGTTCTACAGGTAATATCGTTAAATCATTTTGATGATGACAACTCTTAAAATTATTTATGACAATGTCATATAAACAAATAAAGAGATATCTCAAGTATCATCAGACGAATGTATTAAGGTCTAGTTGAAAGATCTAGACAAAGATTTAATCAAGCAAATGGACTTGAAGATATGAAGTTATGATTCTCAAATTATGAAGTTGAAGATGTGAAAGTATGAAATCTCGCTCGATCCTACTTATAATGTTTTATCTTATTTTTATCAGTTAATTGTAAAATAAGCAATAATGGGTCTTGAGGTACTAAGGCAATACACATACACAAAAAGTATTTCAAATCTCTCATTTTTTGTAAAACTTCTTAAAACTAATTTGGGTAAGTCCTCGAGCAATTAGGTAGTTTGTTTGATCAATTAAGAAAGCTAAGTACACTGGCTAATTGATTAAGAGTCACTTTCAATCTATTAAATCAATGTGAAATGCCTCGTAATTGACTAAGGGGGTTGGTTATCAATTAAGTGACCTCGAAAATAAAATTTTCTTATTTTAGCTTGGACTAATCAATCAATAAATGTTTTAATCAATTAAAACCGAAAAAAAGGCCTTGGATTATTTCTTTTTTTAGCCAGTTTTTTCCTATATAAAGGAGACTTATTCTTATTTCAGAACATACAAGTTTTCTTAATATAAACTTCCTACTATCTTTCTTTCTCTCATTAATTTATAAATTTATTTTTCACTTGAGTTGCCTTAGTGTCAAAAAAGTGAAAAGTTTCATCTAAGAGTTGTGTTGTAATTATTTATTCAAGAGTGTAGTTCTCTTGGGATCTCAATAAATTTGAAGGTTGCAAGTTAAACCTGTAAAACGCTTGGGTGAAGGTTATTGAGCTAAGTTTATGTAAAATCTATGATTATTTGAGGCTATTGATTTGAGCTTATGTAAATGCTCTAGGTGTTTGTGAAAGATTTTTGAGTTGATCATGCACAAAAGCTCAAGTTGTTTTGTAAGGTTGTTGGGTTGATCCTATGAAAAAAGACAAGATTGTTGTAATGGAAATCTTAAGGGAAAACTCTTAGGGACTAGAGTAGGACAAGTGTTTTAGATTGTATTAGGATAAATATGTAGTGTGATCTTTCAATCCCTTTCTTTTTTATTTTTGTTATTTATTTTTATTTCGCTGTTTATTTCTCTATTTCTTCCTTCTTCTATTATTTTTTTGTTTCATCTCTATTTATTTATATCTTCTAACATAAATAACTTTAAAAAAAACAAAGCCTCTTTATAAATTAGTTTTTGAAATTCAAATATCACAATTCACCTCTCTCTCTATATATATATATATCTATCTATTTGTCTATCTATCTGTCTATCTATCTATCTCTGTTTGGAGTCACTCGACCAACAAGTGATCTCAGATCTTAACTCCTATTATAAAACTAACCATCTCATGGGATAGTGTGATTATTTCAAATACTTCTTTTAACAAGAGGATTTTTTTATAAAAACCACCATTGTTTAATGGTGAATGAAAGATTTACTATATGGAAACCAAGAATGAAAATATTTTTAGATGTTATTGATTTTAATTTGTGGTTTTATGTTCAAAATGGTTCATTTGTTCCTATTTAGTTCATTAATAATGAAGTATTGAACAAACCAAATAATTTATGGACCATTAATAATTTATGCAACAAAGTTTTAAAGTAAATAAAGTACTTGATGAAAGTGGGATATATTTTCCATGTGTTTCTATTCTAACTCAGCGTGTCTTTTCTTTTTCCCGTTTTTAGGGTTTAGGGGGCATCGTTTTAATCCCATTCTTTTTTGGTTTTTCCCAAATTTCTTTTGGTAATATATCTTTTCTCTATTAATGGTTCTTGTCTCTGATCGATGTTATTGATCTTTTTCTATCTATGGAAAATGAAAGAATATCCATTTGTCGAAGGAGTAGGAAGAAGGTATCACTGGGACGAAAGATGAAGTTTGCGATGAAGATATTTTTCAAAGGACTTTAACAAGTAAGCTATGGTCGGATAACAATTTCAACACAAGGGATTTTACAAGCACAATGACTGGCTCATGGAAGCTCAAGAACCCATTAGAAACATATGAGCTTAATAAGAATCTCTTTCTTTTCTGATTCACCACAAAAGAGATTTGGAGAATATTATGAAGAACAGTCCTTGGAGTTTTAATAGGAACCTTCTGGTGTTAGCTCGTGTCTTATGAGAAGAACAACCCTCATCTATAAACATGCATTTCAGTGTTTTTTGGGCCAGGGTCTACGAGCTCCCTCTTATGCTCAGATTTGAGACCATGGTAAGAAAAGTCGGAGGGGTATTAGGAGTATTCGAAGAGATGGATCAAAAAGAACCATATAGGAATAGTCGTTTCCTCCGGATCAAGGTGACTTTGGATCTGAAACAACCTTTGAAGCGTGGTACAGTGGTGAGATTCAAGGATAAGACTCTTCAGGTCCACTTCAAATATGAATGGCTCCTGACATTTTGCTTTGCTTGTGGAAGACTAGGGTATCAACTGAAGGATTATGATGCACTGGGAGATCTGAGAGAAGAAGGTTTTAAAGACATTAAGGAGCAAGAGTTGTCATATGAGCCTTAGCTTAGAGCCTCCCCACTGCCAAGAATGTTGGAGGATCATATGCGATAGGGTTCTAGCTCAGGGACATGTAGCAGGAGCCTTTTTAATATCTCAACCATCCAGAGCAAATGAGACTCTAAAGAAAAGGAGAAAGAAGGGGATGAGGAATTTAAACAAGTGGTAACAAGAGTAAATCCTGTTGAGGAACCTAGAGGGTCAAAAGAAGTTATCAAGCAAGCAAATATCTTGGAGATAGAATCAGTTGATGAGACTTTAGGTGTTATAGATATATCCATTAAAGGGAAAGAGAAAGGACCAAGCCAACTCGAGGCAGCCAACAAGAAGAAGAAATGGACAAGGAGGAAAGTTATCAAAAAAGATAAACAACCTCCATATCAACTCAAGCTCATAGAATGTGAGTGTAGGAAAATACAACTAGTTGATAGATAGATTATTTAAGGTAGTTTGGAAGATTGCAAGGAGAAGAAGAGGAAGCATAACTCGTCGGTAGAAGAACTGAAACTCAAAGTACCAAAGGTGGTGTTGGAGAACCAACATTGCCCTTCCCAATGAAAATTAGCAGTTTGAACTACAAGGGGTTATGGAGTCCTCTGCATTTCGAGCCTTGTTAAGGTTATTCACTTGGAAAATCTCAACCTTGTGTTTCTTGTGGAAAGACGCCTAAAAAGTAATGGAATGCATGTCGTTCAATACAAATGTGGATTTGAGTACTGTTACTCTGTTGAGTGTTCTAGAACGAGGAAAGATAGAGGGGTCTAACATTACTTTGGAATGATAATATGAGCTTATTTATCTTGTCCTACTCAACCAATCATATCAGTGGCTCTATTTTAGAGGAAACTGAGGACCAATCTTGGTTTTTCAATGGAATTTATGGTTTCCCGGATGAACAACACAAAAGGAGAACTTGGAGTCTTGTCCAAGAGCTGATTCACAAGAGCGGTGAGAGATTGATTTGCTTCAGCGATTATAATGATGTGCTTGCAGAAAATGAAAATTGTGGTGATAATATCAAAACCTCAAGTCAACTGTCGTGGAGTTGTCAATCTCTAGAGTTGTGTGGTTTAGTTGATTTGGGATTCAAGGGTTACCCTTTTACTTAGACAAATGGCAAATAGGAGGCAACGAATATTCAGTGTCGACTTGATAAGGGTCTAGCTTCAGATAATTTCATTAGTAGATTCTCTCGAATCAAGGTCCTCCATCTCTCTCGTTTTGGTTCTTACCACACAACTACCAAGATTGATCCTTAATCCACCTCAGGAGAGTTTCAAAGGAGGAAATCTCATTTGTTTATATTTGAGGAGGCTTGGTCGAAAGATCCCAAATGTGAAAACTAAATTAAGAAACTTTGGAATGGTAGTGAGATTCAATGTCTCCTCAAGCTGAAGAAGTATATGCAAAATCTGGATGCTAAGTTTAAAGAGTACAAAATTGGCATAATGTCTAAAGAGATAAAGATAATATAAATCTTACTTGAGGATGATAAAAATTGGTCTTCTTGTAAGGAGAATCTAGAGGCTTATAAGGCCCTTGATTGTCAAAGGAACAATCTCTTTCAAATTGAGGAAATCATAAGAAGGCATGTGTAATACGGTGGAAGAACTGACTTGGGTATTTTGCGTTTTATCACAATTATTGTAGATAGCAAGAGTCGCCACCGACTATTTTCTTGAGTTTCGGGGATAGGTTATGAAAAAGAAAGGTGTTAGCATCATTTTCATCTGTAGTTATCTACGGGCTCTTAGTTGTTAACTCACTTTGAAATGCTTTGTTTGAAATGTGTTTGTGATATTTTTGAAAATATTTTTAAAAATGTCTTCGTTTCGGCGAACTTTGTAATGATTCTCGTCTCTATAAGAATGCATACGAAGTGTTGACTTTTGAATACATATCCGAAAATCTCACTGAATGTTTATTAACGAGTAAACAGATTATTTTCGGATATGTATATCCAAAATCCTCCTAAAAATAGATTTAAGAATCCGTTCGGGTATGCATATCCAAAGGATATTTTGAAGTTTTTAGAGGTATTTTTTACCCATATAAGAGTGGCTAAAGAAATCCCAAAAAAAAAGGTACTTGATGATAAGTTGTTTAAACACTACGTATTTATGTTTAAAACAGTAACGATAAGTTGTTTAAACACTACGTATTTATGTTTAAAACAGTAACACATAAATGTGACACACTCTAATTAGATCACTCATTCATAATGGAACAAACTAAAGCATCATCTATCTAAAGCATCATCTAAAGAATCAGGTCACTCATTTATAATGGAACAAACTTCCTAATTGATAGCCATCAAGTCTTAACCCAATGAATAAGAGTGCTTGCATAGAAGTTGCAAACAACTAGACTTCATTTTTATTCATTCACAGTGATATTATTCGTATATGAAGCCTAAATGGATTCTACGAAAATGAATATACCACTCATTTATCATTTTTAATATTACTATTTGATAAATATTTGATCACTCCAACTCAATATCTCTATACAAAATTAAAAAAAATTATTAAATTCCTCTTATTAAACTAAACTTTACATAATTATATTTCAGCAATAAATTATCATTTATTATTATGTAAAAGAAAGCCAAACACACATAAAGTTTAAAATGAATATGTTAATATTCAAGAAACAGTGTCTTATTCAAGAAAATGAATATACCACTCATTTATCATCTTTAATATTACTATTTAATAAATATTTGATCACTCCAACTCAATATCTCTATGCAAAATTAAAAAATTATTAAATTCCTCTTATTAAACTAAACTTTACATAACTATATTTCAACAATAAATTATCATTTATTAATTATGTAAAAGAAAGCCAAACCCACATAAAGTTTAAAATGAATATGTTAATATTCAAGAAACAATGTCTTATTTTTCTCCCCAATAGAGTACTAGTATATAAATAATAGTACATATTCTTATGAGATAAGTTCCCCTGCCAATGTTCTAATTCCTTCTCTTATCATATGAATGAAAAAAATGTAAGGTGAAATCAAATATTATCAATTGGTAGGGGTCTGGTGCAAACGTGTTCCCCCAGAAATATTAGATATGACAGTTTTACCAACGCAGCTAGCATGTACCATCCATATAATCAACCAGCAATTCCCGAACTGTTCCTCGATCGGGCATCTTCCCCGCCGCGCCATATATAGGCGCCAGTCCTCCACTTATTGGACCGGGATTTTGTTTCACCTGAAATTCAACTCGTACAAAATAACTAAACAAGAAGTACAAATCAAATTATAAGTAGTATTCTATAGGGATGAACAACTTACAGTTTCCACAGATTCCTTTAAATCCCTTATAAAGTCGTCAACAACTGGGACATGTTGCAGTGTCACGCAGATATGGATGCTGATTCATGCACAAAGAAGAAAAATCAGTTTGTTAAAAGTAAGACATAATCCTGAAATGATCGGAATCGTAAATTAGAAAGTGTGCTACTCCCAAGTCCAACCTGTTGGGTCTCTGCAATGCATTCAAATGCCAACCTTTGGATGACATGATATCGTTGACCTCAAATATATCCAGAACTTTGGATCCAAAAGCAACGATTGTCATATCGGGTTTTCCAATGATAAACAACTCAGAAATGTCCTCTATGCTGCATATAACATAATCAAAACCCTTACATTCAAAAAACATATACAACGAAAAGCACAAGAAATAGATAAAGAATGACGTAGTATCTGTACCCTTTTTGTAATCTTTTTGATCCTTCCATAATTGCTTTGGTATGTTCCAAGTAACCTGTATAATGAATTGGACCATCAATATTCAATAAGCCTTACATATAGTGCACATTAGAAACCCCATTAGAGTTAACAGAAAAAGCAAATTATTCAGTTCAAAATCCGTGGACAGATACCTTCTTTCCCTAGAGACATCATTGCTGCCCATGCACCAGCAATAAGGCTTCCCGGTCTACTTCCGGCTATGGTTGGAGATACATACAAACCACCAGACCACTCGGTAACTGACAAATGAATCACAAAGAAAACGACATCGGAATTAATCCCATAACAGACAAGTACAGAGATATATACTAGAAACTAAGTAGTTATACGAAGATCTATTTTGAGAAATTTGTCTAGTTCAAAGTATACTTGATATATTCCTCAATTTTACTCTAGTTCAAAATATACTTGATATTTTCCTCTCAACATATAAGTGCAATAGAAAATTATCCAAGACATTGCATAAATTGTAGTCTTACCGGCAACAAATTGATTCTGTAGAGTCCAAAAGCCACAAAGAAAATACATTAGTAATCAGCTGCAAGTAAGTTAATCCATAAAATAGAATTGAAAACGGATGGAAGGAGAAATCCAGATAAAAGAGAACCTATATTTATAGTACTGGAATTGGTCTTTTTTTACTGTAAAAGATATATTATTGGATAGAAAAGATGAAAAATAAAACTAGGGAAAGAGTAAGTTATAGATACAACAAAGAAGGAAAATAGAAAATGAAAGTCTAGATTCTCAACTTGATAGAAATGGCACCTAGAGGAGAAAACAATTTAGATTAATACACTATGGAGAAGCCATAAGCACAATCTTATCCCACAAATTTAAGAGGCCAGGAGAAAAACTTAAATATCAGAGCAATCCAGTCCAAGTCCGACAAAATACGCCAAAGGACTAATTTAATCAACAGAGTCTCAATGTTAATCACTTCATTTTTAACAAAACATTTGCACATATCATAAAAAACTGCTGCAAAGTAGAGGTTGAACCCCCATTAAAAATACAACAAAGATGGCTAACTCTTAAACTAATTTTTTCATGGTGTACAGTATACACATTAGGGGAAACCATCCAACACCAGAAGTTTTAACTACTCACTGCTTCTAAACGAAATTCGAAATGTTTGTAATGGGTTGTAAAATCTTAACTGTCCCTTTCTATTCCAGCAACTTTTTGAGAGTTTCATGTGAAATGCACTGAAATAGGGGGAGATTTTAGGGAATGGGAATATTGGTGCGTTTTTATATTTCAGCTATTGATTGTATATTCATCATTAAGGGGCTCAAAGATAGATATTAAAATCGCATTATTTTGCATTTGAAACATACAATTCCATGTCATAGATATGAATTGCAAATGGTTTTAAATTGCAATACATGCAGGCATTGGGGCAATTCCATATCAATAATGTGAAATGTATGACGCAACAATATGTTATTTTTCCTCCTTTTTCTTTCCTTTCAGACTTTTGTCAAATAAATTGAAAACTTAAATTGTTAGGTGAAAAATAACTTAAGGTCTAAATGCATCATCCTATTGGACTATTCTTAAGCACAGGAGCTTCACAGTCACTCGCTCACTCAATGCATCCTAATTGGTTGTTTCAACGCTCTGCTTTTATTCTTCCAATGCATATTGTTTGTATATATAACTGCTAAGTTTTTGTTCTTACAAACATAGGCTTCATGCAATCATTTTATATGGCTCCCAAGGCAAAGCTCTAGGAATCATAGTTAATTCTATAAGGCTGAATAATACAGTTTTCTAGTGTACATATCAGTCTATATCTGAAAATTACCAATATGATTTTGTTTATTAAGCACAATATACTATTTAAAAGAAGTTTCAATCGTTCTTTTTAAAAGCACTGATGCACATGAACCAAAGGAAAGGGAATAATGGATATGAAAAAAAGGAAGTATACTTTTTGAAGAATAAATACATCATATTCAGTTAGATGTTTAAAAATGTAGTCAAAAGACTTTTTGGGCAAACAAATTATTTACCTTTCTGATTTCATGGTTCCTATATAGAACGATACTTGTTCCTTTGGGAGCTAACCCATATTTATGCACATCCACTGATATTGAAGTAACCCCTTTAACAGAAAAATCGTAAGGTGGAATATCGTACCTAAGAAGAAAAGGTAAACTTTAATTATTTAAATTGGAAACTCCATTCATTGAAAACTTAAGAGCGATGTATCATGCTCAATATGACAGTGTGTTTATTCCCATTTCGTGTAGGGCTGTATCATGTTCAATATGACATTGCGTTAATTCCCATTTCGTGTTGGGCTGGGATGGATGATTGCATGTGTTATACTCAATTAGTATAAACACCAACCATCAAAACATAATATGCAAAATGCATAATCCCAAACATCAACCAAAGATATAGAGAATTATTTTATTTAATAAAAAAAGGGTATGTATTTGTGAAATAGTTGTAATTCCTCTAGTGCTTGGAAAGATGTTCAGTCTAGATAGTTGAAAAATAATTTGGAATATATTGTCGGATGGAGAAGAAAAATCCAAACATTGACAGATTTAACTCCACAGGTTAAAATGAAAAATCAACACATTGACAGATTCAACTCCACAGGTTAAATTTTAGTACGAAAATATAGAACCTAAAATAATGACGAGGAAAAATCAAAGGCAAAAGTATAACAAAACTGACAACAATATCAAATAACAGTTTGCTAATATAAAATGAGTTAAGCTATCTATACCCAAGCTCACGAGCAAAAGGTAATACAAAGCCACCGAGGCAAAGGTCCACATGGAAACAAATGCCAAAGCTTGATGCTAGTTGACCAAGTTCCTACAGGAGAAATTGCCAAATCATTTTATGTTATAGTAGTCCAGCAAGCCAGTTGAATTCAGACAATTTTTTAAACAGTAGATATGGGGGTTAAAAACTTACTTCAATGGGGTCTATTATCCCATGAGGAAACCCGGGAGAAGATCCAACAATCTGCATAATCACATGATAGTCAATTTCACTTGATAATAAGAATTAAAGCTATTGGGAGTTTGCATACCTTCTAAAATCCAATACAAAGAACTTCCAATCTTTTAAAATACATTCGATTAAACAAAAAAAAAAATCATAGATAAAATAGCATGATTGAGTAACTTCGTACCATAATGGTATTTTTGTTAATATAACGTCGAATTGCTTTCACATCTGCTTGAAAATTTTTGTTAACCGGAACGCGCCATAGTTTTATGTTAAAATACTGTGCAGCTTTGTCATATGCTGAGTGACCAGACTCGGGAATTATCCTATAATCCAAAAATTAATTTAAAAATAAATCAAAAAGAAGATAATATACCAACAATATAATACTGAATTATTAGTGCCATACATTTCGGGTCTTGTAATTCCTTTTTTGGATTTCATATAGTCACGAGATGATTTAACAGCTAATAATATACTTTCAGTCCCTCCTGATGTCATGTTTCCACATATTTGTCCTCCAGATGCCTTTTCTTTACTTCCGAGAAGTGCCGCTGTCATTGCAACCACTTCTGCCTCAAAGCGTACGACACTCTGGAATACATCCAAATGCAAAGGGTTGGTATGTGCAAACCTGAAATTTTATTAACATTAATTGCTGGATGCAAATGCATAAATATGGAATGACCTTAGCATGTCAAATTCTCTAAACTGTAAGTCATTCGGATGCCTCGACATTATTAACAAATTTGATGTCAAAGCCTAATTTTGAAACAGTTCTAAAAGACAGACATTAGAACTAACCCAGGTTACGATTATTAACAGTTAACAATTCATGTACCATTTGATAAACAAGTTACTAAAAGACAGAACATAACATGAGTTTTATTCTATGATTGGTGCATATTGTACGTAGAACAATATGGAACAGGCTGGAAAAAATTGCATCTTTTGGTTTCACTGAAAAGGCAAACTCAAAGAATACATAATAGAACAGATTTTCTTGTTTCGTTCTGTTCATGTTTCGAACACTTTCTCAGTAGAAACAAGATGCCAACATCATTTCTAATTAGAAGTCATAACCACATGTTAAGGAAAGCACTTCCCAAGTTCCTATAACTCCAGGAGCAGACTATGTCAGATGCCAGATTAGTGTTGAGACAAAATGCATAATCTACCCATTCTGCAAACAAGCTTGGGTAGGTACTCTGAAGTAAGTATGATAAAATTAAATCCGGTTTCAAAACTACTGAACTAATAAAATTCAACTTGTGTATATTACAAACTTAAAGAACATAATTTTTTAGAAACTTATGATATGGGGTTGGGCCAAAGTCTAATAAAGAGACTGAGCAGGGAAGTTTGCACTGTATTACTTATGTTATGTGGCAGGTAGTGGGAGACGTAAAAGAATATAGTGGAGAGAAAACAGAAAGGAGTGATCATTGAATATTATTCAGTTATAAACCTTATGGATTAGGCAGAGAGATTTGTCACTTCTTTGTGATGATGTTGGCTATGGGGTTACAGGGGTTTATCTTCTGTAATAGTTGTTTTTTTTTTCAATTAATAATACAATTTATTTTTATGTCAAGAAAAAAACACAATTTCTTCTTCTCTTTAATTTGTCCTATCATAATTATCCATCGGTATGCAAAAAAAACTAATGAAAGAAACATAAAATTCAACTGAAAACTCTGCAGGTCTTACTAACATTGAGCAGGCCTCATTTATGACATAAAAATGTTCACTAGACTCACTTCCTCCAATGTAGCTGCAAGAAATAAATAATTTTAAAAGAAAAAAGGTCATCAGTCCTGCGTACAACCAAATGGACCCCTCCAAATAAAGAAAAACATCCCAAACAAAAATGATCAGAATTTAGCATTTAATGCTATGCAAATTACTAACATACACTGTACCAGAGCATTTGCCTTGCCAAACTGCATCGTTTCTTTTCTCTTCTTTCATTTTCTCAAGGACAGATGTCCCCAACCCCGTGCTCGGCAACTCTGTCTTCCAACCATCTCTTTTAGATTTACCATCTGACTGCATCTTATCCACAACCTGTATTCAGAATGACCGGATTAAAAACAAAATTATTCACCATCCACAATCTATGGCCTAAAGAAACCAATAAACTGTTAAAGCAACAAGCACACCCAGATTTTAACAAATAATAGTGTAACTGTGGTAACCCTGTTAAAAAAAATGACATTTCTAATGTCCAAGTATTCACCTGCCACTTAAAGAACAGCAACATTACCACAAAATGAATCCTACAATCTTAACTCAACGAACCCAACTCTTCTTCACCTCCTGGATCCAGAGTTTAGCATTCATTAATCACTTACACCACTTTTTAACCCCATACTGAAATGACCCCAAGGGTGAATAAAGTACAAGTGCAATGAATAATATCAATCACATAGACTAAACAACAAGTACAAAAAATAAGATTGAAATATCTAAAAGGTGATATTGACCTAGAAGAACTGCCATTAATTACACGTAACTTTCAAAAGCTCCAATTCCACAACATGCAGTTCAAAACTACCTCATCTTCCATCAAAACATTTTAATACTCAATAATTTCATATAGGATAATAAAATCTCGTTGCCAAACACTTGAAACCAAAACTTACATACACCGTTATAACAACAACAACCAAGTCTTATCCCACTAAATGGTATCGACTACATGAATCAACTTGTGTCATAATATTTTATCTAGGATCACGCTTCTATCCAAATTGTTAATCGCGAAATCTTAATAATTTCTCTTCTGCTCTTTCTAAGTCTTCCTCTCCCTCTAATTATTTGGCTTCTCCTTACCGCAGAATCTCCGGATCATCTCTCTACCGTCTATTTTCCAGGTGCTACCCCAACACCATTATAGAAACAAATTTAAAAAAATTTATATTAATTGCATACACGAGTTCAAAAACACAAAAAACTGAACTAGCCACTAATCCGATAAACAAACACATGCATTAGTATATCTACAAGAATCAAATTCAATTCCAATAACCAAAACACAAACTCAATCCACAACAACAAGAAAGTCACGTGAAGTTGAATCAATCCAATCCAATCCAATATAATATAATTAAATTACTACACTATAGCTAACCTTCTGTTTTTCCGCATCTATATAACTCTTCACACCAGGAATCAATCTGCGAATCACACAAAACAGATCTCAAATCAAATCATTAACACGAACATTTCTCATCATCAATTAATCAATTACTTAATCATAATCGTTAATATAAATTATATAATGCAGGTGATGATATTAAGTACTTGATGAAGTTCATGAAGAACCCTAGGAGAGTAGCTTTGACTCCTTTATCACAAAAAACTTGGAAAACCGAACGAACTACGTTCGCGACAAAGAGAGTGAAAAGCGGAACGAGAATCAGAGCGAGAGGTTCGTATTGAGATAGAAACGAATTCGCGGTGGTTCGGAAGTGGTTAAACTGAGAGGTCAACACAGAAGAATCCATAACGCGAAAAGAACAATGAAGAAGAAGGAAGAAAATGAATGGATAGAAAACGGAAAAAGTGATTATAAGAAAAGTTGTTTTAAAGGATTTACTTAAGAATGATTAATAGTAATAGTAATCGTAATCGCTTTTGCTAGAGTTGCGTCGCGTGTCGTTGTCACGTGCGGGTTACGGTTTTTTCTACTTCTCTATTTGTGTGCAGCCGTGACAAACCAGACTTTCTAAATAAGCTGATTCGGTGTACCAAGCCCCATTTTGTTGTTTACGACCCCAATATTGATTTTATCTATAAGTTCGTTTTTCCAAAAATATAGTGAGGTGATCAAAATTGGACATATCATGCTGAATTAGTTGAACTCGAAAATGTAGCTTGCTTTCTTTGGTGAAAAGTGATCCTCAAAATAGGATGAGTTTTCACTTTTAAGTTAAGTTTTTAACCATGTTTTTTTTTAGCATGTTTCGTGAATGTTTTGTTTGACTTTTAAAAGCAGTAAAAGCAAGTTTAATGATGTGGAATTGATTCTATATTAATTTTGAGGTGTTTATTTTTAATGGGAAAAGAGTTTTTATTAAGGACAAATCCTTCGAGTACTATCTAAATTCAATTTTTGGTGGAAATAAAATTTGGTCAATCGTTCTTTTGAACCATAAAATTAAATTAGTTGATTTATTATGTAAATTAGAAAATTTGAGGCTTCTGAGTTTAAATGTGATTTTTACATTTAAATTAATTGTTCAATTCACTTTTATATAAATGTATTTGAATATAAAACAATATTACAAAACTTTAAAATCAATTTTATCAAAATCAATTTTGTTCACTGCCAATTCAAACACACACTAAGAGTTTGGGAAAGATTCTGAATTTTAAGAATGAAATACTCTGAAATACTTGAAATAAGAGAGTGAATAAATCTAATTGAAATGGTAAAATGTAAAATATCTTCAATTGAATGTTTTGAGTAGAGATAATTAACAATATTATTAGATCGTTTTAGACAAATGATTTCAAATATAAAGATGGGTGAATTGTGTTATTTTAAATTCGCGATTAAATTTAAGGTTTTATTATTTTAAAAATGAGTTGTGTTAGTATTTCTTAATATTAGAGTAAAACTAACAATAGAAAATAAAAACGGTAAAGTATATAGGAGAAAGTAAAAGATAAGGGTTTAGAGAGATGGCATCAGTGATTTATCCAGATTTGATCAAACATTCTCATACTCTTGTTGAGCTAACGAACCAATTATCCCCAACCAAAATAAAAGTTTTTACCCATGTTGAGCTAATGAACCGATTAGAGATTTTTCAAGTTAATCTCAATAACCAAACATATTTTTTTCCGACAAAGTTCTAGAATCAAGCATAGATATTAAGACCAGTTGATCTCAAGAGCCAAACTCAGTTTCTCAAAAATATCGCACTCTTAAGAGTAATAACAACAGCACGACGCCAATACAATTTTCTTTCTCTCAAGTAGTTTTTCACTCAAAAGCACAAAGACAATTTAAGTTAAAGTAAAATATTTTTTATATAAAAAAGAGATAAATCTATAAAAAATAGAGAGCTTTGTAGATTTGCTATAAGATGAGGAGGAGAGACGTCTCTTTTATATAGGAGATGAGAAAACTAAAAAAGAAATTGATCCATGAGAAATTTTAATGGCCCAAACGATTGGCTTAAGTTCCCAATTGATTAGATTACCTAACTAATCGATTATCTTTGCTCATTTCAGAAAATTTAGATAGAGAGTCATTGTCAATCATTAAGACATTGTCATAATTGATTATATAATCGATTAGACTTCTTCCAATTGGTTGGCTTAAGGTCCTAATCAATCGGGTGGTTCAAAAAATGCTTCAAAAAGAAGCTGACAATTTTCTGATCAATTGGATCGAGCTTGCAAATATTTTTAAGAGTTTTAATAATTAAAAAAGAGATTCAAAAGAGAGTTTAAGTGTGTGTGCGTGGATGTGTGATATGCCTTAGTATCTTAAGAGTTAGTGTAACATTCTAACTTTAGTTAATTATTTTTAATTATATTTTTCATTTTAATTATTTGAGTGTTATATGTGTGTTTTTGAAATTATTATTATTAAATTATTTATTAGATAATTAGAGATAATTGAGAAAAATAGGTGTTTTGATTAAGAGCTAGGGTGGAGTTTTTCACCAAACTATCATCTTTTTTCAAATTATTCCCTAAAATTATTATTTTCACCCCGTACGATGCACAGGGTAAATTATGAATATATATCGTACGTGAGAAAAAATTAGGATTTTTGTTGATTGAATAGTTGAAATATATGGAAATTAGTGGTGGAGCTATGAGCTAGAGTAATTAATATTAAATATTAATTAATATATTAAATAACATTTATTGAAAAGAGAAAATAAAATAATGTGATTAAAAATTGTTTAGGCGCGCTCAAAATCTAATGTCTAAGTGTGTATTCAATTTTAATATATTAAAGATACCATATTTTCCCACTTATTACAAAATTACCAAGTTTTCAAACCAAAAAAAATTGTTATTGAAGGTTTGCCCGATGCTTTGGAGGTCTTATGTTTTTTTTTTTTAATAATTTGTTTATTACTTGTGGAATTTTCTGCGAAATTATATTCTTATGGAATTACTTACAAATTTCTCAAATATATGATTTTTATATTCTGTAAAAAAATCTGCTGCAAATTTTAAAGAATTAATTTTTTAAAAAAAAATCTACAGGAAAATAAGATATAATTAAAAATATATATAAAGTACGAGAGTCAGCCAACTTTAAAATATTATTTTTTATTTGAAAAGATGATATTTTAGTATTTATGATGGAAATGATGGTAGTTTAGTACTTAAATTGAAAAAGATAGTATATTTGTGAAAATTTTGCTAAGTTGAGGTGAGAGTTATTGGAATAATTAGACTTATTAATTATTCGAGAATTAAATTTATTAAAATATATAGGTAGATGTGCTATTTTAATTTAATTAGAGAAAATTATTGAATTAAAATAAAATAATTATTTAATGAAATTATTATTTAGATAAATAATAGATAATTAGATTTTTAGAAAAAATAGAGTTAGTGAGGGTGTTAAGAGAATGAGAGGTGTTAAGGAGAATTAAGATGAATAAATAGGTAAAGTGGGAATTAGAATCGTGGGATTGTGAAAATTGAGGAATTGGAAAAAGAGGAAAGGAGGCAAAAGCTTGAGCAATCTTAGAAAGGATAGAGAGAGGTAGATCTCAAAAGCAAGAAAGCTCAACGATCTTCAATTTTGAGGTAAGGAAGAAAACTTTTAAGCTCAACGATCTTCAATTTTGAGGTAAGGAAGAAAACTTTTCACATATGGGTGGTTAGGTAGTCGGATAGTGAGGGGTCCTTACCCTCATATCTTCTTCTTCCTCTTCCTTATTATTTGTGATTATATTTGTGACCAAAGGGTTGCATTAACCCTTTTTTACCTTTAATTCTTAATAATGTTGAGTTGTTTGTTGAATCATGTAATGTTTTGATGTAAATATATGATATGTGCCCTTTTGACAACTTTTACATGATTGATATGTGACTATGTTATTTTGGGAAAATTCCCAATATTTGGTTTTTAGTATGATTGACTATTGTTGTGTAACTATGTTTTTGGGACTGATGAGATTGTTTAGGCAAAAACTTTGTTAAATCGTAAAAACTCTAAAAAAGCAACGAAAATCCCAAATGGTTTTTTTTCGAAAAATAAAAAATATTAGAAAAGTAAGAAAAATAATTGAAAAAGTAAAAAAATCGGGGGCGCGTCGGCAATCATTGGCAGCATAAACAGTGTCGCGCGGCGGTGTGAGGCGGAGCCGATGAGGAACAATGTTGTGTTGGCGATCTGTGGATCCAGAAATAGGGTGCTTCACGATGGCGGGTGGTAGAGTCGCCGATGATCGATGGTGGCGGAGGCCGCAAGAGGTCGAGCCGTGACGCAACGGCAGAAGGCGGCGAGCGCATGCTACGCGAGGCCACAGTGGCACGGATCAACATCGAAGGAAGCTGCATGGCGGCGGGTCGGCGCTTTCAATTATGTTGTCTAGTTCAGTTAGTTTTTCGAGTAATTTTGGTTGCGGTGACTTTTTGCTGTTGTTTGGTGAATTTTGAGTCAGAATTGAGATTATTGATAAATTGAGTTATTTGGATAAAGTAAGTTATATTTCTTTTATGCCATAATTGTCAATAGGGTTGAGAAAAATATCATTTTATAATAAAAAATTATTTTATAATAAATATTATTTTGAATTTGAGTTTAAGTTTATTGGTTACTTGGAGTTAATTATCGCACATGGCACAATAGCCGGGACACATTGGATTCTCCAGTCATAAATGTGGGGGAGGTGCCCGTATATCCAGCATTACATAAATAAACAATCAAATAAATACTCCCAAATAAATAATAAAAACCATCAAATAAATTATAGTATACCTGTAAAAGGCTAAGCTAACCAGCCAGTTGTCTGGTTTTAGGCTGAGTAGCAATTTCAAGTGTCGTGTACAACATGGTCAGTTGTCGGCTCCACAACATGCTCGACAACCGACTCCATAACTTGTTCAGAAATAGAGTCCACAACCTGCTCAGGAATAAGCTCCACAACAGACACATCCTCCTCAATAGTCTGCTTAAAAATCAGCTCAATCACAGACACACACAAGAACAAGAGCATGTACCTCCTCGACAATAGACACTCTAGCTTCTCGATGTCGGGGTGCGCGAAACTGCGCCTGTTGTTCAGCCATCTGTTTTCAATGAGAACCGATCGGAGGACGTCGTCCAGCCCATAACTCAAAAGCATGTGTCTTGTCAGCCCGGGCTTGAGCTTCCGCTCTATCGGCCACCCTGCTCGCAACAAAATCATCTTTGCCCCTGGTATTCACTGAAACGATGAATAAAAGGAGGGAAAAATAGAAAAATATGAACTACCAAAAATTTAAAAATTTCCGATATTTTTCAAAAAAAAAATTGAACTAC